AAAATTTAAATTAGTAGAGACATCCAAGACCGAAAATTTTACAAAATTCAGACGTCAAACATAACGTAATAAATTGAATTTGAATAGTGAAAAAAACAAGAAAAATTTAGTTTCAAGACAGTCTTGTACGTCTCTACATATTAAATTTCTTATTATTAATTTTTTTATTTATTTAAAAATTCATTTAAAATTCCTAAGGAATTATTTTTATTTTACCATTACTATTATTATTTATTTACTAAAAATTTTTTTAGTAATTCATCTAAATTTTGGGTTTTTATTAAACAAAACAAACAAGATTTATATATTTTAAATATTTTTTTCTTATTTAAATGTAATTTTCATTATTTTTTGTTTGATAAACATTATTTTTGGGATTTTTTTAGAAATTATTTTAACTGTTGTAAATTTGCGGATTTTTAGCAATTATTAAAAAATATTTTAAATTTTGAGGACTTGACAGAGTGATTAACTTGACAGAAAATTTCCTAAAATCTCTAAATTTCCGCCTGAGACGCCAAAAACTGTCTAGGGTCGATTCAAATATTTTTAAAAACTCATAAATGTTGAGATCAAGATGAGGACTTTGCCTTAAAACCGGAAAAAATAATTTATTTTCGAAAAAGGCAAGCGAGTAAAGGATATCCAAGACTACTAGAATTTAAAGAATTTCAATTTAATTAAAAGCTTTTTAGTTTTTCAGTATTTTTAAAATTTTTGTCAGTAAAATTTGATTAATGAAGTAGGTTGTATGACACTCTTTTTCCGAATTTACTTTTCGAAATTTAAATTTTGTTGATTTAAAATTTAATTTAAATTTTGTTAAGATTTTTCTGTTTTTGAGGATGTTTCTTTAGCCTTCCTTCATCTTTTTAATTTAAAATTTTTTTTAAATTTAATATTTTTAATTAAAGTAATTAATGTAAAATTAAAAAAAAATCTATTGTATTTGTAGTTTGTATTTTTTCTTATACATATTTTTACTTTTAAATACGATTTCACTGCCTGTAAAAATTTTTCTCTTATGAATTACACTCCATCTTCCTTAGCAATTAATTTTTAGTGGTAAAATAAAAAATCGTAAAAGTTGAAAATTTGCGGATTATTTAAAAATAATTTTTTTAAATATTAAATAATAAAGTTTTTAAAACAAGCGAGTAAAGGACGTTTAGTCTATTTTAAATGTTAATGATTTCCGATCACCCTTATTGGGAGAATTTAAATATTAAATTTTATGATTTTTAATTAATGCTGTAACGGTAAAAAAAGAAGGGTTATACACGGTTTGAAGATTCTCAGTAAAAACTATAAAAAACAATGGCTCCGGGTTTACAACATGAATCATGTGTATAAAAACAGATGATGATCACGTTTAGTCTCTTCCCTTCATTAACTCTCTCCCCTTCTTTAAAATGCTATGAAATTTTGAATAATTTTAAGAGATGGAATAAAAGGATGGCATTTGGATTGAGAAGGGCATTGGGGAAAATTTTTCGGGGAGGGTCTCTCACTCAACACTCGCTTGCGTAAAGGCATTGACATTGCCATTAATATATAATTTTAATATATATTTTTTTAATTTTTTAATAAATATAAATATAATTTTACAATTTTTTACTAAATATAAATAAATTTTATAAAACTATTTTACAGAAAATGTATTTAAAATTAATTTTTTACATTTTACTTTTGACAATTTTTATAAAATTCTCCAATGGAGAATTGTGTAAATGTGATAAAAAGGCGGAAAAAATTTTGCGCAATCAGCGATATAAAAGAGGGTTCAAATGTAACTGTTTTTCAGGTGGAGCAGGAAGCTCTAAGAAAGGTTCTGATGAAGGAAATTCTAAAAGAAGTTCAGGAAAAGGTCTTAATAAAGGCAAAAAGCCTGCAGTCGAGAATTTTAGCCGCTTTGAGAAGGACGAAATTAAACAAGAAAATGCTGTAAAAAATTTTGATGAAAGCATGTTAGGAGGTTATTATAATTTTGGTACAGAGCATTCAAGCAAAAAAAGAGTTTTATATATTGCTGATAATTTTTTCTACTCGCATATTCAATTTAATGTTAGTTTTAAAACTTTAATTTAATAATTAAATTTTTTAGTTAAATTTGGCCAATTTGTTATCGACAAAATATATTGTTGTAAGTAATAATTTTAAAACTAATCAACTCAGTTGTGAAATATCACTACATATAGTTTTTAGACTTAATAGAGTTAGGAATTTCAAGTAACCGAGAAAGAGAAAACTTCGGTTCAAGTGTTGATTTTTTTGGTTGGAAAATAAATATATTTCTCCAAAAGTCAAGCAATACTATGTATTTATATGTAGACGGATATTAAAAAAATTATAAGTTTAAATAACATGGAAAAAATCAGGATTTCTCAAAATATTTTTTCAGGATATATTCTCATCACAATTTCAAAATTTATTTCTAAAATAAATTTTTATTTACTAAATTTTTAGGATATGCTTGTTTACACAAAAATTAATGGACTTCAAGTTAATTCAAAAGATATTAATATTATTCATGTACCAATAAATACTAGCGAATTTGGTTCTTCAAATTTTGACGTAGAAATGCGTGACTTTAGAAGAAGTACTAAATATACTCATCTCGGAATTTATAAAGGTATAGATATATTATGTCTATACCAAAGATATGCAGTGTTGAGAAAAAAGTTGGACCGTGTATCGGGTCGAAAAAAGACAGGATGTTAGGTATCTGGTTTATGATAACCCGACCCATTCGTGGTCTATCATTTTATTTAAAAATAACCAATGCTGTGAATGTCTCTATTAGCTAACTTCGGAGTGATATTAAGGAGTTAATACTTGGAGGCAGTGATTAAAATTCAAAATACAAGTGTTTGAGCTTTATTGGAGCTATACCGACATACTACCAGTGTTGATTAAAAAATATTTTTCGAGTCCAAGAATTCGAACGGTTCACTGTTCCGTTTCCAAACTTTTTTTGGCTTCGGAATCGTTTCCCCTTTTATTTAATTATTTTTCTAATTAAATAAATATTTTTTAAATTAAAGAATTTATTGAAAATACTGAAGTTATTATTGGAAAACGCTCCAAAATAGGAATTCTTGATTATCTTCAAAAATATAATTATTCTTTTGGAATTGCCGAGTTTGAAGTTATGGCTGGTTCTTTTGAAGTTTTTCACGCTTTGGGAATCAACACACTTTTTAATGCTGCTGCTACTGTGTTCTTTCCAGAATATCTTCAATTTCTTGAAATTGATGAAGTCCCGATTGATGTTACTAATTATATTATTCCTGGTTAGTCTGAAATAATCTGTCTATGCTTATAGTTTATTTACTCCTAATTTGTCAACGGCAAAATTCAACCTCTTACAAATTTAAAAGTTTACTGAAGTTAAAAGTTGTCCCCGCATAGGTATAAAAAGTCGACTGTCAGAATTTCTTGTGACAACATATAATGTTGTCATTTATCTAATCTAAAATCATCCCAATTTTTATAAAAATTTAATCTTTAAAAATTTATCATTTTTAAAGAATTTTCAACGGTTTTACCGGGAGATTGGAATGAAGAAACTGGTATTAGTAACCAAAATTCTGAAAGATATACGGAAAATAATGAGAAGCACATAGAAACGAATAAATCATTAATAGAAAAGTTTGGCAAATCTCATAAAGAATATTACCCTAAATTGTTTAATAGAAATCATAAAAATCGAGGATTAAATGAACCTATACCATTGAATGAATTATTTAAAAGTATTAGCCATCATTTTATTAACCAAAACGATTTTGGAGTGTTTGAGGATTTTCCAAGGTTGGAAGATAAAATTATGTATATCGGTGGAATTGCTGTTGAGGAAAAAGGAATTTTGACAAGAGATAGAGTTGAAAGAAATGAAGTAATATTTATTGATAAAAATTATTTTTAAAAATTATTAATAATTACCAAGGATGGGCCGGGTTACTCGAAATCCGATATTTTCCAAGGAATTTTATTCCATAAAACAAAGAATTCAGGCTCCTTGACCTTACAAAATTTTTTTAAATTTTTAAAGGTTTTCTGAATTCTTAGTATTACTACACTAATTAAAGTTATTATTTTCGACTCCAGACCTGATCGTTCTTGGAGCCATAAAATCATCAAAAGCGGCCCGTTTTAGTAATAAAAGACTGACTCAAGCAACCTCATTAATCTCCTCTATTTTTCATTTACTCCTCAGTTCACTATCAGGTACTTAAAGATCAAATTTAAGAAATTGAATTTAAATCACTTAACTCTTCACTGCGCGGTTTCCATAATAATCTTTCACAAATTATTTACTTCGAAAGGAAATTTTCAATATAAATTTCTTTTAAGCCTCCATGTGTTGTTTTTCTCTCGTTTGGGTCTGGTGATGCTGCTGTAATTTCTGAAAGATTTGGAAGATCTCAAGAAATGATAAGAGAATTTTTACCATATGCAGAAAACTGTATATTTAAAGCTAGACTTGTTCCTGGTACATTACCAGCCGAGTTACAGCATCCCAACTTTGTTTTTACCGCCAAACTTGTTGAACAACAGAACATTTTACGTAATAAATTTCAATTTTAATTCAGTAATCCTTCTTCAGTAGTTGAAATTTTTTCAAAAATTATCTCAGACAGTTATTTTAGAGTTGTTTGAATGGGACTTTATCTGAACCAGGGTAGTTTGCATTAACCAAAATTTAAGCAAAAACTCTCACAAGCGAAAAACCACGCAACTTCAAACAATGTCCTGATCCAGTCCTGATCCTGTGGGCAGTCCTGATCCTAATGCTCTAATTTTTTCGATGTTATTTAAAAAATGACCAGATCTTTTTCTGTTTAAAAATGAAAATTTAAGTAAAAACTTTAAGCATTTTAATCGCCAAATTTTAAGGTAAAACTAACACAAAATTGTTTATTTCTCATTGTGGACTAAACAGTTTGAATGAGGTATTACATTTTCATTGAAATTTTTGATAATCTAAAAATTTATAGGCAATGTATGCAGGTGTTCCTATGATTTGTATTCCTTATGCAGCTGATCAATTCTATGATGCATCTCTTATTGAACACTTGGGAATTGGAATTTATGTTAAAAAAGACGAGCGTTTTGTAGAAGCATTGAAAATTGCTCTCAAAAGTATTCTGGTTGATAACTATGTGTAAGGGCGTTTTAAATTTGTTAACACTTTTATTTCAAATTACTGTAATGTATGGGAGAAGATATATTAGGAAAATCAAAGATATATGTTACGACAGCTGCTCCGGTTGTCATAGTCGTGGAGGGATTAGAGCCAAAGTACCGGTTGACTCACCCTTAGAACCACCCGAGGCTTAAATATCTGGGTAAACATTATTTCAAAATAACTAGACAGGATGTGACGCGAATCAAGAAAATTCAAGTTGCGTGGATTTTATAATATCTCAGGGAAACTTATAAAGCCGTTTCAGATTGTCAAAGATAATCTAACTTAAAATGAAAAATTATAAAAGTTTCAAAATTTATCAATTAAGGACATATCAAAATGCTGCAAATGAAATTAGAAATAAAATACTACAAAATTTGGACAAGAATGGACATATTAAAAATCAACTCTTTTCAAAGATTTCTGAATTTATTGGAGGCAACGAGATCGAAGAAAATTGATACGATATAAAATTTATTTTAAAACAAAATTTGGTTTGACAAATTATTTTGTCCGCATTTTTATTATATCCAGTTATTTCGGCGTAGTGACAGAAGACCCACAGACAAAAGACCCACAAGAAAAATTTTTACCAATAGCAGAACAAGATTGGGCAAGGTTACGATACAAAAAACAAACAACATTAACCTATGGGCGGCGGCGATGGGTCTTCTGTCCTTGGGTCTTTTGTCCTTGGGTTTTTTGTCTGTGGGTCTTCTGTCTTTGGGTCTTCTGCGTTGACCTTGGGGTCTTGTGTTTGTGCATCTTCTGCGTTGATACGATCCCAAAGCAGAGTTGAACAAAGGGATTTCCGATTCAGTCTGTCAGCATTTTTGTTCCGATGCTGACATGATACCCCCCCCCACCCATCTTTTTTCGACCCCGAAACGAAAAAAGTAATTGGGCAGTCCTGATCTTAGTGCTCTCATTTTTTCGATGTTATCTAAAAAACTACATCAAGGTTAACTGTATTCGCAATGCAATTTTAAATTTATTTATTTCCCATCATTATGTACTCTAAAAAATCCTCAATTAAAAATCTGCTCTCGACTGTCTTTAGCTTACTTTGGGGATTTTATTTTTTCTGGGATTTTAAATTTATTTTACCTTGAAAATCATTGTTTAAAATTCCTTCAAAATATCCAAAACTATTAAATTTTCATTATTTATTCATTATTTTTTGATTCCCAAAAAAATTTTTTTTGTTTAATATTTTCTCTAAAACAAACTTTTTTTGATTTATATTCTAATATATTTTTTAAAAATTAAGAGAAAATATTATCAAAATTAGTAGATAGAATTTCGTATTGAGTAATTTGTAACTTTTTACTTCTAATTTGTGTCAATCTTTATTCTTTGCTTTTATGCATAAATTTTTATTTTCGGGAAATTTTTTTGTTAATTTTGACAAGTGAAGAAACTTCCTCAGTTTATTTTTCTCTGAATTTAATTATTTTGTGGGTTTACCTCGACTAATATCACAAGATCTCGATGATCAGAATTTATCGAAAAAATTTTCGGGGATCTCAAGAAGTTACTTGTAATCTGTTCCAAATTAGTGCTGGGGATCGAACTGCGTTTAGTGGATTTTAAACAATTAATTGCGTATTGTCTTTGGTAGCACCCTACCCTCAACCCTATGTTCCAAAATTCTTTATAAAAAAGATGTGTTGTAACCATAGAGAACGAATACACATTTGAACAAGTCGGCCTCTTATGTGTTAACCCAGAATTTGTGAATATTTGTATTGATCGTTCGTATCAATCTACTAATCTTATTTTTAAATTAATTTTAGACACAGCAGGAAATATAATAAAACATAGTCAATCCGGCCAAATTGAAGTTCTGTATTACTATTTAAGTTTTTTTAAACGAGAAAAGAAATTTTAAAAAAATTTCTATTGGGAAAAGAAATTCACCCATATGAAAATATTAATTTAATGCTCGTTGTCCCTTGAGCAAGGAAACATATGTATAATAAAATTTTTAATTGCCATTAATAAAATTACAAAATGTTTTCACAATTGTTTTACGCTTATATTAATTTTGGGACGCATAAACTTGCATGGAACGCATAAAAGTTCATGGGAGTATGTCCTAAATAGAGCCAATTTTTTTTCATAAATTCATTTAATTATTACATAAATTTATTATTTTCAAATAATTCTCTTTTTGTTAATTTTGATAAACATTTCTGTTGGGATAAAATGTAAATGCCCTGAAAATGGGAAGAAAAAATTGCACCATTCTCGAGTTAAGAGAGGCTCAAATTGTAGCTGTTTGGGTGGATGGAAACATTCTGAAACAATAAACAGAAATCTCTAATAAACAAAATTTTTAGGCAATTCAAATTAATCAAAATTTTATTTTCTACAGACCCTCATTTTTGAAAATTAAAAGTTTTTCAATTAAAAATTTTTAAATTTAATTTATTTAATAATATTTTTTAAAAATTTAAATAAATTTAACCAATCAATAATTTCTTAATAAAATTATTTAGAGAGGGCATTGCTTATAAAAAATCAAGACTGCTTTTACTTACACATCTCTTTCAAAATTATATAGTGAAGCAAGCCATTTTTAATTTATATTTAACTTTAAATATTTTAATTAAAAAATATTTTTACCGAAATGGAACCTTTTCCAAGGAGTTACTATGTCGAAAAAACATGATGTGTCATCTTTTTGTTACGCAGTGTATAATAAATTATTTAATTGTCATTAATAAAATTTAAAAATGTTTACTAATTGTTTTGCGCTGATATTAATTTTGGGACGCATATACTTTCAGGGGACGCAATGCTTTCAGGGGACGCATGTCCTAAGATACATTTTATTACACAGATTAAGGGCATTTTTTAGTTTTTGTTTTACTTCTAGTAACCTTCCGCAAAACATATTACTCAATGCAAGGCCAAAAAGCGACGCAAAACGCATTGCGCTCACCTATGTTCCGCTCGCGCAATTTCATTTAAAGGAATCAAAAGCACTTTTAGTTAAAGGGCTTATCATACGTGTAAAATGGATAGTGGATAGAGGATGGAACTTATCTTTACTTAAAAAGCCATAATGCTTGTTGAGAAATTCATTTTAAATAATTAAAAATTTTTATAAGATTTATTTATTAAAATTTATTATTTTGAAGTAAAAAAATTATTTTAGAGAAAATGTATTTAAAATTAATCTTAAATACTTTCTTTCTGCTAATTTTGATAAACATTTCCATTGGATATAAATGTAAATGCCCTGAAAATGGAAAGAAAAAATTGCGCCATTCCCGAGTTAAGAGAGGAGGTTTTTGTAGCTGTTTGGGGTCTGGAAAAAGACAAACTAATTCTGGAAAAACTTCTGAAGACGAAACAGAAGAAGGTTCTGCTTCTCATCATGTAACCGGTCAAGTTGAAGGTTCTCAAATTAGAACCGGTCATACTTATAAGCTGGAGGAGGCGGGATATGAAGGAGCAACGCATGGTGAAGGTTATGGAACTCATAGTTATGGAGGCCATACTAGTCATCGTGGTCATATAGCGACAAGTTATGTTGGAGGAACTTCTACAGGTGAAAGTTCTATAAGAGGTTATGAAACTTATGAAGGTTCGGAAATTGAACAGGAGCGTTTTAATGGAAAAAGGAATGTTTTGTTTATCTGCGAGAACTCCTTTTTCTCGCATACACAATTTACAGTATGTTTAGTATTTTTAATTTTATTTTAATATTTTTTAATTTAAATTAGTTATTTAATTTAACAAATTTTTCAGGAAGTTTTGGCTAACATTTTGTCAGCTAAATATAATGTTGTAAGTGATTTTAAAAATTATTTTTTAGTTTATAGCTTTTCATTATGAAATATTGTTTTATTAAACATATAATTCATTTATTACCTATCAAATTACTATTATGTCTAACTCACTATTATGATACGGTCATTGAAAATACGCGCGTCGTGCGACAGAAAAGATAATGGGAAACGAGGGCTAAGTCTTTTTTTAGTGGAAAAAAAAAATATAAAAAAAAAAAAAAAAAAAAAAAAAAAAAAAGTTTTGGCTATTATGTCTAACTTACTATTATGTCTAACTCACTATTATGATACGGTCATTGAAAATACGCGCGTCGTGCGACAGAAATCCTGTCGCTTTTTTGAGTGGCTACATAGAGGTAATGCCTAAATGTCACATTTGTCCTACGTGTCCGCAAATACGCACTCTTCATCCCTTTGTATTTTTTACTGCGCCATAATACGCAAGGCTAAAAACATTTTTTCGCGGAAAAACGTTTTCTCCAGTTGTTGGAATAACTTTGCTCCATTGCCGGAACAACTTCACCCGTTTTAGATTTTATTTTTCCAATTTTCAGCATATGCTTGTCTACAGTGATAAAGAGAAGGAAATGCCGAAAGGAAATTTTAATATGATTAGAATACCTGTCGATGAAAGCCATTATGATGAAAGTCAGCCGGAAGGAAAGCGAATGTTTAAATATAGATGTTCTAAAGAATTTAGATTTTTGGGAATTTATGAAGGTATGTATTTTAAGTTAGTTATGTATTTTAAGTTAGTTCATTGGTTATTTTCATTTTTAAACTGTAGAGGTAAACGGTGGACCAAGAGCCGACGTAAAATGAGCAACCCCGAACTTTTTGTTTAATTTACCTCTGATTAAAATTAAGTTGCGGTAAAAAAAGTTTTTCGATTTATCTTTCCAATTTCAGATTTTATTTTTCCAAATACTGTACTAATATCTTCTGAATACCAATATAAAACTTCGACTCTGATCCGAATGCCATTAATTTAATTTTACAGCTTTTTTGCGTTCAAGCGTTTTTTAAAATTGTTTCTAGCGTTCACACCTGTCCTCGATCCTGATCCCCAACTAAATTTTTGTCCCCGACCCCAGGGAACAATAAAAATTCTCTCCGATGGATCTGAGGCAACCCCTAATTAACTTACAAAATATTTTAACTACAATTTTGTCTTTTCATAGAGATAAGCAAAAACGCTAAAATTAACATTCCAAATGTTGGCGAAAGACATATTTTTGATTGGCTTCTAAGTCAAAATTATCTTTTTGGAATTGCCGAATTTGAAATGATGGTTGCGTCTTTTGTTGTTTTTGACGCTTTAGGAATTGAAACAACTTTTGATTTTATGAATACAGCTTTCTTTACAAGATATGCTCAGTTTTACTTTAATGGACATAATAAAGAGGAAAAAGAAAATTTTTACAAATTTATTCCCGGTTAGTTAGTGAAATTAGGTAAATAGAGAGGGTTATTTTCAAATAGTTCATATGGCATTATTCGGGTAGTTTTCGGCAAATGAATTTTTCGTTAGCAATACTGGGAGTACCAAAAAGTACCATACTTTCGGGGTAGCGTAGTTCACTCAAAATAATTTCGTGGTTCACTTAATTTCAATTATACATTAAAGATAGTCGCTCCGCCAAACCTGGCGATTGGAATCCTGAAACTGGAATTTTTCAGAATGAAAAAAGAATTGAAGAAAATATAGAAAAACATAAAGAATCGGATAAACGATTGCTAAAATTTTTTAATGAAGGTTTTGAATTTTATGAAAAATTTGAATACAAACCTCCAAAATTTGACGATTTATATAAAAAAATTAATTATCATTTTATTAATCAACACTCAAAAGGGAAATTCGAGCATTTTCCAGATTTTGATAATGTTATGTATATTGGAGGAATTGTTGTTGAAGAACAGGGAATTTTGACAATGGATAAAATAAAGTTAAATGATGTAAGAATTTATATTTTAGATTTTCAGAGGTACACTGTGTTTCAAAAGTATACGCGCACCTAAATTTTCGATTTTTCTGTCATTAATACTTATGATAATATCTTCTAGATTTTTTATAATATATAAAGGAACTAAACAAAAAGATCCACGGACAATTTCCTCAAAAAATTCAATAATTTATTTTTATTTTTAATTTTTTCCCAAAATAGTGTGTTTCATAAGTATACGCGCACTTATATAACTAAAGATTTTAGACATTAGGGATGGTTCGAAAAATCCACAAAAATTTCTGTAAACATATCTAGTGATATTGAAACAAAATACAAAAGAAATGAAGTTCCAGTCAAGTACCATCATCGAGATTTAAAAACCCGAAAATCAACGGAAAACAGGGGGTAAACGTGTTTGAAAAATATTTTCGACCCCTTATAGGTCAGATAAAAATTTAATTTTGGGCTTATTTGAAAGCCCTTGAAATTTGCTACAAGATAGCATGAATCTTATTTTCCGAAAAAATTTAATTTAAGACATAACATGCGATAAACTTTCAAGTCACCAAAATCACTCAAACGCCCCCCAAAAAGCGATGAAAATGTAGCTTATAAACTTAACTCATTATTTCTCAAAGAAAAAATTTTTTTAGAATATGAGATGAAAAATATCCTGTAGCAAATTTTAAGGGCTTTCAAATAAGCCCAAAATTAAATTTTTATCTGACCTATAAGGGGTCGAAAATATTTTTTAAAGACATTTACCTCGGTTTTCCGTTGATTTTCGGGTTTTTAAATCTCGATGATGGTACTTGACTGGAACTTCATTTCTTTTGTATTTTGTTTCAATATCACTAGATATGTTTACAGAAATTTTTGTGGATTTTTCGAACCATCCCTAATGTCTAAAATCTTTAGTTATATAAGTGCGCGTATACTTATGAAACACACTATTTTGGGAAAAAATTAAAAATAAAAATAAATTATTGAATTTTTTGAGGAAATTGTCCGTGGATCTTTTTGTTTAGTTCCTTTATATATTATAAAAAATCTAGAAGATATTATCATAAGTATTAATGACAGAAAAATCGAAAATTTAGGTGCGCGTATACTTTTGAAACACAGTGTATGAAATATGTAGTGGGCAAAAAGTAACAACAAAAAACTTGAGAGAAGGGAAGTTGATTCTCCGAAACGCAATTTAAGAGAGAATTTAGGGTGTTTAGTGTAGGAATTTTTTCGGAGCGGGTTGGGGATAAATGTGAAATAAATCGTTCAGAAACGAGATACTCTGTAAAGAAAATATAAAGAAAAATATATTCACGTAATGTTTAGGAAATGTTGCAGACATTTTAATTAAACCTTCCGTTAGTTTAATTAACTAATCGTTAATTAGTTCGGCGGTCATAAGCCGATATTTAACGAGGGCAAAAGACACGAATCAACGTTTCGGGCCGAAGGCCTGAGACGTCAAAATTCTAGTTAAAATTGCCTTGGACGTTAGGCCTTGGATAACGTCAGGCCTTGGATATAAATGGATATTTATTATAAAAATATTCGTATTTTTAAGCCTCAATGTATTGTCTATGTCGCTTTTGGATCTATCATCGAAGTTGGAGCACTAGGAGCTAATCTTGAAAAAATGCTAGATATATTTAAAGGATATGAAAGTTGTACGTTTCAAATTAGAATTGGTGAGAATAAATTAACAGAAACATATGAAGCAGAAAATATAGAGTTTTTGAAAGGATTTGCAGAACAGCAAAAAATATTATGTAATGTTTTATTAGAAAAATATTTCAGCTTTTTTGAAAGATTTTTTCGTTATGATTTTCTAAAAAAGCCTGAGTTACACTACTGCCCTTAAACGTCAGGCTTACCAAATACTGTCAGTAAACACTAGGGTTCCGCGGGGCAAGGAATTCCCCGGGGAGAAGCTCGCGGGGGCTCCACCCCCGTTCCCCGTAAAATTGAACCCTGGTTTGCATAACACTATTAAAGAGTTTAGAAGGTTATTTTTTAAAAAATGGTATCGGGATTTTAGAAGCTAATACCAATTCTAATACTTATCTGTATTGGAGTATCAGTATCTACATTCAAATCTATTATATATATTTTTAGCTCAAACGAATACAAAATTATTCATTTCACATTGCGGGCAAAACAGCTTTAATAAGGTAATTTTTAAATTTAAAAAAGGAAAAAAATATTAATTTTAAAGGCAATGTATGCAGGTGTTCCTCTAATTTGTATTCCAAATGGAGCTGATCAATTCTATATTGCTTCTATTGCTGAACATTTGTGTATTGGTAAATGTGTATGGGCGTCTAGAAAAGTGAATGATAAAGAGATTAAAAATGAAAATTTTATTGAAGATTTTTTTTATGCTTTGCATGAAATGATGAGAGGACATAAGTAAATTTATAAAAAGAAAGACATTAAATTTTTCATATAAAATTTAATTTTGAAATATCAAGATATATCAGCCAATCCTTAAAAATCCGACTAATCTTCAAAAATGATTTCAAAAATGATTCTTAAAATATGCCGAAACATGCCAAAATGGACAAAAGTCGATTATATTTTTCCGAGGTTCTGTCAGAACTAACTCCCTTGAAACTGAGAAATTTTTTAGGCTTTATGTCAGTTTATGTAGAACTTGCCCTACATATGTGGCATTATACATAGTATATGCTGATGTGAGCCATTTAGCTTTCGGGCGGCGAATCTTACAATTAAATATTTTAATGTAGAATAAATTTAAATTTTTAACATTTTTCATTTCAGATATACATCTAAAGCATTAAATATGAGAAAAGAAATTCTCCGTATTTTCGAAGCAAAAGCAATTAAAAATAAATTTGTTGATAAGATTGCTGAAATTACTGGAGAAGATTGATAGGTATTGAGGAGTGTTTAAAAAAGAAAAAATGGTTACACATGATACATGAGGACTAATTCTTTTTGGACCAGTTCCCAATTTAAAATATAAAGAAAAAAAGTTAAAAAGCAAAAAAAAATATACAAAAATACAAAAAAATACAAAAAAATTATTCCAAAATTTACATTTATAGAAAATTTTTTAAATTTAGTTTTATAAATTTAAAAATTAAATTAGTAGAGACATCTATGTATGATAGAAAATTTTATGAGAGAAGACGAAATTTTAGGTCACGTGCATTTTGTATCAGGGCTGGGCGAAACTGAAAATAAAAAGCGCACAGCCCTGTCTTGTATGTATGTCTCTACAAATTACTGGTTTAAATTACTTTTTACTACTACTGTATTTATTCTAATATAAAGACAGCCTTTATTATAACGACAGTCCCTAATAAACAGTCCATAATATAACGACACCCTAGAAGACTGTTAAAAAATATAACGACATGTCGTTATATTCGAATAAATACGGTAATTCATATTTATTTAAAAATTCATTTAAAATTCCTAAGGAATTGTTTTATTATTTTTATTTTACCATAATTTTCTTTAAAATATTTCTTATTCAAATAAATTTTGATTTTATTTTTAGTAAATATCAATGTTTAGTTATTTCAATATTTTCTTTTATTTAAATGTAATTTTCTTTATCTTTTTATTAGTAGATAAACATTATTTTTGGGATTTTTAAAATTATTTTTTTAGTGTTTTAAAATTAAAATAAATTAGTGTTTTTAATCCTTAAGAACTATAAACTAGGGACCGAACTTGGAGTGTCGTACGAGAATCGAGATCTCAAAAAATCGATCATGATAACCGGGATTTATTTTCGAGATCTCGTTTCGGTCCGATCTCTACTTTAAACTCACCGGGAACTCAATGGAATAATTTTTCTCAGTGATTGACTAAATGTTTTTTGTAGCAAATTTTGTGGGCTTTCTGTGCAGTAGGCGGCGTGGTGTAATGGCTAACACACAGTCCAGTCTACTGAAGATGCTGGTTCGCACCCAGCCGCCGATTAACCTTTTGCACTAGCTAAAGGAGAGAAATAGCTGTAGCCCAGCTGCTTTACTAGAGTTCGTACTATAGTTCGTTAGTTTTACTTTACTACTACTTCTTTACTTTACTAGTTTTTAAAAATAAATTCCAAAAAATTAAAAACAAGAAAATAAAGTTTGTGAATACCTCCTTTTAATTCAGGTTATAAAATAAAATCTAAATAAAACGAATAAAAATAGGTAGTTGTCACAACATGATAAAACAAAAAAATGAAATTTTTAAACCGAAGCTTCCTTTTTATTCATATAAAATTTAATTTTATTGTTAGATTTATCTTTAAAAAATCATAGAAACAAGCCCGACATGTCTTCATTTCTCCTTTAAATGAAAAAAATTTTTTTAAGGTTGTAGTTTGTAAATGATATTAAAATTTTTATACAAAAATATACGATCCCTCCTTATTGCCAAGCGAGAAAAAGAGAGATTCGGAAAGATCAAACAAGCGGGACAAGGAGGGATCGTATATTTAAGTATAAATCTAACGGAAATATTAATTACAAAATACAAACAAACAGCAAGCTCTATTTGGCATGTGAATTTTGAGTTGTGAAATAAAAAAACGCAAAAATTGAAAATTTGCGGATTATTTGAAAATAATTATTTTTAATTTTAAAATAAAAAATTTTATTTTTAATTTTGCGAATTTTTGAAATTTTATGAAAAAAAAACTCAAAATTTTGTTAATCAAAACCCCTAAATTTTAGGGTTTCTAATTGAATTTCTTGTTAATTCCAGAGTCTTGTGTACGAGATGGAAATTTTCCTGTAAAAATGTTTTTAGAACAATTTTATTTCTACAAAAATGCATCGAGTTTAAAGCCTAAATCTATGTTGAGACTAAATAATGATCAAGTTTAAACCCTCTCTTTCTTTAACTTGCTATAAATTTCAAATAATTTTAAGAGATAGAAAACAACCAGCAAATATATTTGCGGATTGGGGAGGGCATTCGGGAAAATTTTAAGGAGGGGAGGGGGATGGAGGGATGGAGATCTCTCACTCGCTGCGCAAAGGTGTTTATAAACAAGTGCATTAATAGTAAGATTTTTATTTTTACATTTTTTAATAAATAAAAAAATTTTATAAAAATATTTTAGAGAAAATGTATTTAAAATTAATTTTTTACATTTTACTTTTAACAATTTTTACCACAATTTCCAATGGGAAATTGTGTAAATTTGACAGAAAGAAAGGGAAAATTTTGCGCAATCACCGAGCTAAAAGAGGGGTCAGCTTTAGCTGTATACCAGGCGGAGCAGGAAGAAAAATAGTTAAAAGCATACGGCCTCATGTTGATTTTGAGAAAGATGAAATTAAAGAAGAAATTGAAGTAGAATTCTTTAATGAAGAAATGTTAGGAGGGTTTTATAATCTTGATCATTATCATTCGAGGATGAAAAGAGTTTTATACATTTGTGATAATTTTAATTACTCGGCTGTTCAATTTGATGTTAGTTTAAAAAATTTAAATTTAATAATTAAATTTTTTAGTTGGAGATAGCCAATTTGTTATCAACAAAATACATTGTTGTAAGTTATAATTTATGAAAAATTTTTGTAAACTGCATGCCTAACTCTATTAATTAGGGTAGCAACCCGACCCGAACCCCGACATACACGGCCCCGAAGGGCCGGTATGTACCTTGATACTTCAAGTCTTGACGAAGAACTGCGTAACTTTAGAGAAGGTAATAAATTTTTGTAATAACTTTGACTATTGCAAAATCTTCGCATTGACTTACTTTGGCAGTAGGTATGCAGGAGTGATCATGGTTCAGCAAATAATTAACTAACTATTGACGCACTTGGCGAAAACCTTTGGATCTTTAGAAGTTAATTTATTGTCTTTTTATTAATTACGGTCAGCTTTATCCAAAACACAAGCCGAAATCAAGCAATGATATTCCTAGCCTGATTCTAAAATTGTTATAATTAAAAAATTTAAATTTCAAAATATAGTTATAACCTAAATTTTCCCACATTATTTCAAGGATATGTTTGTTTACACGACTCTTACGGGATTTAAAATAGCGACAGAAAATTTTAATCTCATTCATGTAGAAATAGATACAAGCCACCTTGATACTTCAAATTTCTACGAAGAACTGTTTAACTTTAGAAAAAGTAATGAATATATTCATCTCGGAATTTATAAAGGTTATTAATCTATGTATAAATTCAAAAAAATAATTATTGTTGGGAATGTCTCCTTTAGCTATCTTTGAGACGGACTTAAATTGCTTAATGATTTGAGCCAGTGTTTAAATTTAGAAGATAGTCTCTGAGATATAGCCGATTACAAAATGTAATTTATTTGTTCCGGTAAAATCGACAAGGTCTGTTTTAGGCTCCTTGCTCGTAAGCCTAAAACAGTTTAGGCCTTCGGAGTCGTTTCTCTGAAATTTTAAGCAAGGATCATAACAAGTTCATCTAATTTTTATCTGATATACTTTAATTTTTACAAAAATGCTTAAAACAAACAGAATATGTAGATTAGGCATCTTTTATCTGCCATTTCTTATTTAATAATTTTTTTAATTTTAAAAAACTTTTTTAAAGATTTTATGGAAAATAGAAATGTCAGGATTGGTCAGCGTCAAATTGGAATTCTTGATTATCTTCAACGATATGATTATTCTTTTGGAATGGCCGATTTTGAAGTTATGGCTGGGTCTTTTGAAGTTTTTCATGCATTGGGAATCAAAACAACTTTTAATGCTCGTTATAATGTATTCTTTCCAAAATATCTTCATTTGCTTGGAATTGATGTTACTGACTATATTATTCCTGGTTAGTATTGAAATTATCTGGCATTTGTATTCTCTTTAAGGAAAATTTAAAACCTGTGTGAAGTTAAAATTTGCCAATATAAAGAGACTGTCAGGATCCCTTGTGACTATTTTCCTTAGTAAGGAAAATCTAACATGCTTATACACTGGTCTTGGCATTTCCTTTTTGACTTTAAAAAATACTTGAAATATTTTTATTAAACAATATTGTTAAAATTATACATAATAATTATAGAATTAAAACTGATATATGTAGTTATAAGAAAAAAAATTAAATGTTGGCCCCCATATTTTATATGTAAAAATTCAATATAAATACCTATCTACATATAATTTCTAGATTTTCAAACCGCTATGCCCGGAGATTGGAATAAAGAAACTGGCATTTGTAACAAAAATTCTGTAAGATATTCACAAAATATTGAGAAGCACAACGAAATTAGTAATTCATTCATAAAAGAGCTTGAAGACTCTTATAAAGAGTATTACCCCGATTTATTCAAAGATGAACATAGAAATCGAGGATTAAATGGGCCTATGCCATTGAATGAATTATTTAAAAACATTAGTCATCATTTTGTTAACCAAAACGAGTTTGGAATATTCGAAGATTTTCCAAAGTTGGAAGATGAAATTATGTATATTGGTGGAATTGATGTTGAGGAAAAGGGAATTTTGACCGAAAATAAGGTTGAAAGAGATGAGGTAATATTCTAATATTTGTTGATAAAAATTATTTTTTATAATACTAAATCTTTTGGGCGAAAATACAATCAGAAATTAACACCTTCATTCATTAATAATTAGGGCGTGTCAAAATATGCACGGAAAATCCCAAAATATGCGCATATATATGCACCGAAAAAGCCCAAAATATCCACCAAGATATGCAAAATATGCTCTAAATATACAGCAAAAATAACGAAAATATGCTTTAAAAAATTAATATTTGAGGTAAAAAATACTAATTTAGCATTTAAATTGCAGTTTAAGAGCACTTCTAAAAGATTTTATGAACTTAAAATTCAATTTAAAAAATTTTTTTGAAAAAAAAATTTTTCGCGAAAAATTTTTCGAAAAATATTTTCAACAAATTTTTATTTAAAATTTTTTTGCCCAAAAAATTCCAAAATTTTGAAAATTTTGCCTGATTTTTACTAAAATTTTTCAAAAAATGCCAAATCATGCACAAATTTTGGTAAAAATATGCAAAATTTACCAAAATATGCACAGATATGCAAATATGCACGAAAGTACCGAAATATGCAAAAATATGCATTAAGAACCGGGTTCTAAAGTGCTCTAACCGATGTAAAAACACCATTTTTGAGCGTTTCAGCTCATGGCATATCCGCATGCAAAATATGCATTTGCATGTTTTGACACGCCCTATTAATAATTATTTTCGATGCCTGACCTGATCCTTCTTGAGCCGTAAAATCTTTAAAAAATTTTATTTGTAATATATTCAAATGCCAGTTTATTATTAATTACTTGTAGCACCCCGATAAGAGGATTTAAGTTGCTTAAAACTAGAGAACGGACCGAGACAAGATCTCGATCGAAAATCTCGGAAAATTTCTTCGAAAAGAAATTTTCAAAAAAATTTTTATTTTTAGCCTCAATGTGTTGTCGTTGTTGCTTTAGCTTCAAGAATAATTGGAAATGTTCAAGGAATGATAGATGAATTTTCGCCTCATGCAGAAAAATGTGTATTTAAAGCTAGAATGATTGATGTGAGATTACGGATAGCTTTATTGCCTCCAAACATTATTTTTACCGGAGAACTTGTTGAATATCAAAACATATTACGTAATAAATTTTAATTTAATTAATATTTTGATTACATCATTTGAAAAACATAACGATAATACAGCGTATCCAACCGATTTATACTGAATGAAGTCCTAATTCAATATCCTAACAGGATCATTAAGTCCCGTCTGTTATGCTACGGTTACATAAAAAACGCGCGCGTCTTGCGGCAGAAAAGATAATGGGAAATGAAGAGAGTAAAAGACGCCGGCGTCTTGCCGCTTTTTTTGAGTGGTTACATAAACTGCGTCTTACGCCGGCGTCAAGACGCCGGCGTCTTGCCGCTTTTTTTGAGTGGTTACATAACCCGCGTCTTCCGCCGGCGTCAAGACGCCGGCGTCTTGCCGCTTTTTTCTAGTGGTTACATAAACTGCGTCTTCCGCCGGCGTCTTGACGCCGGCGTCTCTTTTTTTAATTCAAACATGTTTGAATTTTTTGCGGCAACTTTTAGCGTCTTGATCATTTCTCGGCCAATTCTAATCCGATTTTCAAAATTTAAAAAGATTATGAAAATTCAATTCATTCTCTATCGATCAATATAAATTTTATATTTTTAAAGTTAAATCTTATGGGTTAAAATTGATTTTGAAAAAGGTATACTTTTTGCAAAATATATTGAAAATATATTGAAAATATCTCGTGTCTTGTGGCAAAATACGAGATACGAGACCTCTAAAAAATACGAGATTTCACGAGATACGATAGGAGCGCCACCCCTGATCGTACCATGGCAGAATAAAATGATTTGACTTTATAAATTTTATTTTAGTATGATAAATATTTAAAAAAATTTTTAATCTGATTTAGTGGTTACATAAAATCGCGCGCGTCTTGCGGAAGACGCTCGGCGTCAAGACGCCGGCGGAAGACGCTGTTTTGTGGTTACATAAAACTAGCGTTTTGACGCTTTGCGTCTTCCCGCTTAGCGGAAGACGCCGATTTTATGTAACCACGAAACAGCGTCTTCCGCCGGCGTCTTGACGCCGAGCGTCTTCCGCCGGCGTCTTGCGTTTTTTATGTAACCGTAGCATTAAGTCCCGGAGCCGGTAAATGTCCAGCTCGCTGCCTATACATATGTCCGCAAAAGGCATTCTCTAAAAATAATTTTTCCTGCATTTTTTCCTCTGCCTCTCTTTCCAACTGATGGGTTGACAGTTTGGCGCGAAAAAATAATTTACAGAATGACTTTTGCGGACATATAGGCAGCGAGCTGGACATTTACCCCGGAGGGTACCCTGAGTCAAATTTTGGGCCATTACTTTTTTTAATTTCTAATCGATTCAGATAATTAATATATCAAACGCTCTTGAAGTAAGGATTAGCAGTATTGATCTAAACAGATCAAAATATAAAAAGTTACAGCCTAATGTAGATCAAAAATCACGATTGCGCGCACTTATCTAGATGTAACTTTTAGTAGGATGATCTAGTCAAATCAATCTAGTTGACGAAAATAATCCAGACATCCATGGCTTTTGAATGCTAAAAGATTTATTCTTATTGGTTAAAAACCTAAAAAGTTATGGCCTAAAATATGGCTCCGGAACTCAACCGAGGTGACTCAATGATACTCAATATCCTACCCCACACCACTATTTTAGTCTGTTTGGAACCACCCGTTTGGAATAAAAAACATTTACACAACCAGTAAACGCATGGGCAATTACGGGCGATTACGGGTCCAGGCTTTGCCTAACCTCAAATTTTTAGGTAAAACTAACACAAAATTGTTCATTTCTCATTGTGACCTAAACAGCTTGAATGAGGTATTTAATTTTATTTTATGTAGCATTTTTTAAAAGATAAAAATTTCAAGGCAATGTATGCAGGGGTTCCTTTAATTTGTATTCCTTATGCAGCTGATGAATTCTATAATGCATCCCTTGTTGAGCACTTGGGAATTGGAATTTATGTTCATTTGGGTGAAGGTTTTGCAGAAGCATTGAGAGGTGCTCTCAAAAGTATTTTGGTTGATAATTTTCGGTAAGTAGGCATTTCTAATTCGTCAACATTTTAATTTCAAATTCCCAAAGCATTGAAATTGTAAGGTGGTGGGAGGATCTAGATTAATTAACCCATTCAACGAGAGGGAAAATCATTTAGGGTTATTATATTGACGTTAATTCCCCCGTTTAATAACAGCTGTTCCAATTTATTTTTGAAATACCCAACCAATATAGAATACAACTGGAAACAGCTAAAGCCAGTCGGTTACCCAATTTTTGGTCGCCCTTTGTTTTCTTACTTATGAAATAAAATATATTTTACATAAATGGTTTAAAAGAAAGTTTAGACTAAGCGGGGCTTCCGCGTCCCTCCGGCTCCCAACCGGGAACCGGAGGGACCCAACGGTCGTCTCGGTAATTCGTTTGTTGACAAAGGTATTTGTCTCAATCAGGGTAATTAATTAGGGTAACTATAAATTAAATGTAAATTTATGGAAAAATTTAATTGAATACGGCTGGTATTTGTTTTTGCCCGATTTTTAATATATTTACTACATAAACTTTATCTCAAAATAATAAGACTAGGTGGGACGGGAATCAGAAAAATGGTAACTGAACTAATTTAGTTAGGCCAAGAAATCTTGAGTTTAAAAAGGTCGAAGCTCCGTAGGTTTTGTAGTATCTTATAGAAATATAGTAAAAGCTCTTATCTCATCTGATTGTCAAAAAAATAATCTAAAAGGAAGCGATAATTATAAAATAATTCTTTAATTAAAACAAAAAATGATTTTTAAAAATTATTATTTAAGCAAATACCAAAAATCTGCAAACAAAATGAGAAATAAAATCCTCGAAAATTTGGAGAAAAATGGACTTATTAAAGACCAATTTTTTTCGAAAATTTCTGAATTTATTGGAGAGTAAAAAGATGGGAGAAATTTGAAGGGATTTAAAATTCATTTTAAAGCAAAATTATTTATTTTAATCTTTCCTCTTTTTTCTAAAATTTTCAAGGGTTGGGTGATTTAAAAGAGAGCGGATGTTAAAATTCCTACTTTGCAATACCAAAAAAATTCAATTATTTTATGATTGGACTTAAAGTTCGATTTACTCATAAAGTAAAGTAAAACTAAAAACTTTGAGACCAATACCGAAAAACACAAGAAAACCTTTAGTTTCTAGATGAAGTCTTGTGCGTCTCTACAAATTATTATTAAATTTTTTATTTTAATTTAAATTTATTTATATTATTTATTTAAAAATTCATTTAAAATTCCTATGGAATTATTTTTATTTTACCATTATTATTTATTTATTTAATTTTTTTAAATTTATTTAAATTTTGGGGTTTTTTTCATTAAACAACACAAACTAAATTTATATATTTTAAATATTTTCTCTTATTTAAATTCATTATTTTTTGTTTGATAAATATTATTTTTGGGATTTTTTTAGAAATTAAAAATGCTGAAATGATGCTAAATAACAGTGTCGGGACTGCCCCTAAAATTTATTTTAAAACAATGACGTTTCAAAACATCCTTCTTCAAAAGAGCATTGCTTAGATGCCTTTTTATAGATTTTATTTAATATTTTTGCAGATCTGATGCAAATTTTAAAAAATTTTGTATATTCTGCTTTCCTATTTTGCCTTTTTTCGGATTTAGGTGCGTATTTTGGCGGATTTTAGTGCCTATATAACGCCTATTTTTGACTTTTCAGTGCCAAAAAATCCTAGCCCTACTCGTTAATTATCGCTTAACCCTCGCCTAAACGTTTCAAATGATTCAACGACACTTGGGGACAGACCTGGAGACCACGGGCCATATTATAAAAAGGGGGTAAACAAATCCGCAACACTTTTTATATGTAATATCACCCAAAATTCGACAATTAAAAATTAAAAAAAATTTTTTTTAAGTTTTTTAGATTTAAAAAATAAACTTTAAATTTAACAATCATCAATTAATATTTATTTTTAAAAATTCAATAGCCAATTCTTATAAAAAAATTTTTCTTTAATGAAGGAGAGGTTTTTCGAATCAAGTAAAGTTTTGAAAATCGAAATTTCGAAACAGATCATATATGAAGGCATTACATACTACATACAGCAAAAATTGGGTACAATTTGTCAATCCTGTCCTCCCTTATTCCCTTATAATTAATTAATTCATTTAAATAAATATTTAATAAATTTTAAACTTTCTAATACAAATAATTTGATGAGAGGTGTGTAGGAACTAAATGTCGGTAAAATCGTTTTTACGGGATTTTCTTCCAGCTTGGGATCCTGTCAACCGAAGAAACTTTAGAAATGTTAAATATTTACATGTATAATAAATATTTAATTATTAAAAGAATTATTTTAATATTTTTAAGGAAATGTATTTAAAATTAATTTTTTACATTTTCTTATTTTTTTAAATTTTTGTCAATTCATCAACTGGAAAAAATGTAAATGTTCAACAAATATAAAATCCTTTGTCTCAGCGCCGAGTTAAAAGAGGAAATTGTATTTGTGGAGGGGTGCAATTTCTTCTGATATCCACCCTAACCCTGCGATATCCATCTAATTCTTGGGAGCAAGCCAACTTACCACGAGCCCAACTTACCGCAGAGCTATAACTTCGTTCAGAATTGCCGAATCCGGTACGTCTTGGTATGATTCGATGCGTCTCGACGAGCTGAATCGAACTATACCAGGGCGCCCCGGATTCGACAATTCTAAACGAAGTTATAGCTCTGCGACGAGTTGGGCTCGCGGTAAGTTGGGGTGTACCCTAATTCTTCTATACCCCTCTAAATCCACTGATATCCCTCAAATACACTAATATCCCCAATATCTATTGTAAAAATTTTTCTGTAAAAATCCCGGAATTCCGGCAGGATCTCTGTAAATTTGAAAACGGGATTACTGGGATAACGGGATTTACGGGATTAATCCCGCGGGATCACTTCCCGTATAAAATGTTGAAAAAAATTTCGTTAAGGGATCCCGGGAATGCGATTTTACCGATCTCTAGTTGTATTAGAGGTCGTAGTTTGTAATTAATATTAAACTTTATATACGCAAACATACGATCTCTCGTAGACTTTTCTCTTTTTGAATCTCTCTCTTTTGACATTGCCAAGAGATGGAGAGAGAGATTCAATAAAAGAGGAAAGTTTTACAAAGAGGGATCGTATGTAAATGTATAAATATAAGGTTTAATATTAATTACAAACTACAAACAGCTCTTCTTGGCAGGCAAATTATAAAAACAATGGCTAAGGCCAACATCGTTTCCCTTTACCCCAGGCCCGCAAAATCACCAGACCTTAAACCGTCGAAATGTTTGAAGATATAACTCGTAATTTTATGCTGATTTTCGGCAGTTTAACTAAGTTTCGGAGCTTAAATTCGCATTGTAGTGTGCTTAGGAGGATGTGATATAAGAACAATTGTTGTGTCTAATACAGACGATGCCTATTTTATTCATTAGAATCCAATGTCTTTATACCATTCTTAAAATAATTTTTATCCAGTGTTTGGAGCAAATTTAAAAACATTTTAACTATAATATTTAAGTTGGAAAAATAGGGGAAAATGGATGAGTTTATACCTGTAAAAGACTTTCAGGTTTAGTTCCGTTCTTTCCCTAATTTACCATGAAACTTTTAATAATTTTAAGACGCGGAAGAAAATTATCCGCAAATATATTTGCGGATTGGGGAGGCCATTGGGGAAGATTTTTGGGTAAGGTCTCTCACTCTCGCTGGCGTAAAGGCATTGGCATTGCTTTTAATTTTAAGCTTTTATTTAATTGATCAGGTTTAGTCTCTTCCCTTCCTTAACTCTCTCTCCTTATTAATTTTGAATAATTTAAAGAGATGGAAAAAGGGATGGCATTAAGATTGGGGAGGGCATTGGGGAAATTCTGTCGGGGAGGGTCTCTCACTCTCGCTGGCGTAAAGGCATTGGCATTGCTTTTAATTTTAAGCTTTTATTTAATTGATCAGGTTTAGTCTCTTCCCTTCCTTAACTCTCTCTCCTTATTAATTTTGAATAATTTAAAGAGATGGAAAAAGGGATGGCATTAAGATTGGGGAGGGCATTGGGGAAATTCTGTCGGGGAGGGTCTCTCACTCTCGCTGGCGTAAAGGCATTGGCATTGCTTTTAATTTTAAGCTTTTATTTAATTGATCAGGTTTAGTCTCTTCCCTTCCTTAACTCTCTCTCCTTATTAATTTTGAATAATTTAAAGAGATGGAAAAAGGGATGGCATTAAGATTGGGGAGGGCATTGGGGAAATTCTGTCGGGGAGGGTCTCTCACTCTCGCTGGCGTAAAGGCATTGGCATTGCTTTTAATTTTAAGCTTTTATTTAATTGATCAGGTTTAGTCTCTTCCCTTCCTTAACTCTCTCTCCTTATTAATTTTGAATAATTTAAAGAGATGGAAAAAGGGATGGCATTAAGATTGGGGAGGGCATTGGGGAAATTCTGTCGGGGAGGGTCTCTCACTCTCGCTGGCGTAAAGGCATTGGCATTGCTTTTAATTTTAAGCTTTTATTTAATTGATCAGGTTTAGTCTCTTCCCTTCCTTAACTCTCTCTCCTTATTAATTTTGAATAATTTAAAGAGATGGAAAAAGGGATGGCATTAAGATTGGGGAGGGCATTGGGGAAATTCTGTCGGGGAGGGTCTCTCACTCTCGCTGGCGTAAAGGCATTGGCATTGCTTTTAATTTTAAGCTTTTATTTAATTGATCAGGTTTAGTCTCTTCCCTTCCTTAACTCTCTCTCCTTATTAATTTTGAATAATTTAAAGAGATGGAAAAAGGGATGGCATTAAGATTGGGGAGGGCATTGGGGAAATTCTGTCGGGGAGGGTCTCTCACTCTCGCTGGCGTAAAGGCATTGGCATTGCTTTTAATTTTAAGCTTTTATTTAATTGATCAGGTTTAGTCTCTTCCCTTCCTTAACTCTCTCTCCTTATTGATTTTGAATAATTTAAAGAGATGGAAAAAGGGATGGCATTAGGATTGAGGAGGGCATTGTGGTCTCACTCTCGCTGGCGTAAAGGCTCTGCCATTAATTATTATTTATAATTTTAATATAATTTTTTTTAATTTTTTAATATAATATAAATACAATTGTAGAATTTTTTAATAAATATAAAAAAATTTTATAAAAATATTTTAGAGAAAATGTATTTAAAATTAATTTTATACATTTTACTTTTGACAATTTTTATAAAATTCTCTAATGGAGAATTCTGTGAATGTGAAAAAATGGAAGGAAATATTTTTCGCAATCATCGATATAAAAGAGGTATTAACTGTAGCTGTTTAACAGGTGGAACAGGAGGAGGAAGAGGCTCTAAGAGAGGTTCTGATAAAGGAGGTTCTGGAAAAGGTTCTGGAGGAGGTTCTGGAGGAGGTTCTGGAGGAGGTTCCGGAGGAGGTTCTGGAAAAGGTTCTGGAGGAGGTTCTGGAGGAGGTTCTGGAGGAGGTTCGGGAATAGGTCTCGATAAAGGCAAACAGCCTTATGTCGAAAATTTTAATCGCTTTGAACAGGATGAATTTAAAGAAGAAGATGCAGTAGAATTCTTAGATATAAACACCTTAGGAGGTTTTTATAATTTTGATCAGGAACATTCAAGCAAGAAAAGAGTTTTATATATTTGTAATAATATTTACTACTCGCATATTCAATTTAATGTTAGTTTAAAACATTTTAAGTTAATTTAATAATTAATTTTTTAGTTAAATTTAGCCAATTTGTTATCAACAAAATACATTGTTGTAAGTATTAATCTTTAAAAATTTGTAAAAAACTAAATATTTATCTATTTGAAATACTACTCTATTAATAGAATCAGGAATTTGAAAAACCGACACCGGAAAATATAACAGTTAATGTTATTTTGGTATGAAATGTAGAAAACTTAAATCTACTGATCTTGGTCTTGAGACCAAGGCCAGGATTTTACCCCAAGCTCTTTCTATAGCTTCGCATCGTTATGGCCAAAAGGACGCGCGGCCATAAAAATATTAATATTATTTATTTACCCCATACTTCACATAACCTGGTTAAAGATTTCCGAATCTTACCAAATTTAGTATTAAACGATAATCGAGCTAGAGACTATACTTCTTGTTAAAGACTATACTTCTTGTTAAATTTTTAACTTATAATATTTTTTTATTTTTAGGATATGCTTGTTTACGCAAACATTAATATGCATGAAATAAATTCAAAAAATATTAATGTTATTTATTTACCAACATTTACAGGCATCTTTCATACTTTTGCTGAAATGCGTGAATATGTTCATCTCGGAATTTATAAAGGTAAGTCTATTATTGAATCTGTACATTCATTTAAAAATAATCAGACCTATGATCTTTTCATTAGCTAGCTTCAGAGTGGACCTGAAGGCGTTAATGATGGAAAGCCCAAAGATTTTAACACTTTGTAATTTTTTTAAATCCAGCGCTGAGTTAGAAAAGTATAATTTTCAGTTCCAAAAAATCGCGCTTCTCAGACCCGTTTCAAATCTTTTAGCAGTCCCGGCCTGACCATTTACTAATCTTAGCTAATACACTCAATTCATACATGAATTAAAAATTAAACAATATACCGTTATCCTTTAATAACACCCTGGGTAATTATTCTTTCGACCTTCCGCTGGGAGGGGGGAGTAATTAATCGAGGAGGGTAATTATACGAGGTTTGAAATTTAAACGTGTTTTAGGGCATTTGTTTGGGGGTAATTATTGCTTCAATCTATCGCTGGATAGGGTAATTAATGGAAGTGGGGTAATTATTTGAGGGAGGGCAATTAATACAAGTTAAACGGTACATAAAGTTTGCGACAAACAAAAATATTTATAGTTATATCTTAGGAGTTTTAATTAAAATTATTTTTTAATATTATTATTTTTTATTATATTTTTAATAATATTTTTTTAATTTGAAAAAAAAACTTTTTAAAGATTTTATGGAAAATAAAAATGTCAGGATTGGAAAACGCTCCAAAATGGGGATTCTTGATTATCTTCAACAATATAATTATTCTTTTGGAATGGCAGAGTTTGAAATTATGGCTGGGTCTTTTGAAGTTTTTCACGCTTTGGGAATTGAAACAACTTTTAATGTTGCTGCTACTGTATTCTTTCCAAAATATCTTCAATTGCTTGGAATTGATGTTACTGACTATATTATTCCTGGTTAGTATTAAAGTAATTCGGCATGTAAACTTTATCCCTAACTCAATATAGGTAGTAGTGATGCTCGGGTATCCCGACTCCCGACTCGGGAAAATTTCCCGAGTTTTTGGCCTCCCGATCCCGAACCCCGACTCCCGGTGTCAATTCCCGACTAAGTCGGGAAATTTTTACATCCCTAAGAATGGATTTTTCTGACAAAACTAGCGCCTGCGGCGCTAGTAAGGCTTCTTTACCTTCCAAAATTTTCAATATTTTTGCCTATGGTGCAAAAAATCGGAATTTTTGGCGCCGAAGGCGCCAAAAATTTTTGAAATTTTTGGAAAATTTTTTTTATTGCTAATTCCCGACTCCCGATCCCGACTCCCGAGGTCATTTCCCGACCCGACTCCCGTTTCCCGATTCCCGGGTTTTTTCTTCTCCCGAGCATCACTAATAGGTAGGTATTTCGGCGGCACTCAGGAAGATTTCAGATTTGAATGAAGTATGTACTATTCGCCGACATATTAAGTCGACTGTCTGGGTTTCTTATGGAAACACTAAATGTTGTCACACAACTGAATCAGTCTTCGCCCGGTTACAGAAATCGAAATCCTACTTTAAAAAATTAAAAGAAATATTTTTTGGTAAATATTATTGTTTAAAATATAATGATTATTATAAAGATAAAAAATAGTCATTCAAAATTTATCCCTGAAAATTAATCCCAAAACGAAGAAAAATTCAATCCATTTATTATAAAAATTCAATTAAAAAATCTATCATTTTTAAAGAATTCCATACCGCCAAGCCCGGAGATTGGAATAAAAAAACTGGTATTTGTAACAAAAAATCTAAAAGATATTTTGAAAATAAAGAGGAGCACATAGAAAGAAATACATCGTTAATAAAAGAGTTTGATGACTCTTATCAAGAGTTTTACCCTCATTTGTATACTGATTATCATAAAGATCGAGGATTAAATGAACCAATACCATTTAATGAACTGTTTGGGAATATTGACTATCATTTTATTAACCAAAACAAATTTGGATTATTCAATGATTTTCCAACGAAGGAAGTTAAAATTATGTATATTGGTGGAATTGCTGTTGAGGAAGAGGGAATTTTGACTGGAAATAAAGTTGAAATAAATGAAGTAATATTTTATATTTATTTATTCATGAAATTTTTCTTTAAAAATTCAAAATTCCTCCTCGGTGAAAATCCAATCCGCGACGAGTTCCTTCGTAAAGCCTTAAAAATATTGCAAAGCTGACCGCATCTAGATAAGTAATTATCTAGATGTAATTATCTAAGTAATTATCTAATTATCTATACCTTCCAACCTCAACAAGACCCCTCCGACCCCTCAAACCTCAATACTTTCTTTCTTCTACCAGTTTACTATAAAGTCGCCATAGTGATTAGCGAATTCAAATTACCTGAACCTAAATACACTTTTCATAATTGTTTAAAATTAATTTATATTATGAAAAAAATTTTAAAATATTTTCTTTTAAGCCTCCATGTGTTGTTTTTATCTCATTTGGGTCTGGTGATGCTACTGCATTTTCTGAAAGAATTGGAAGAGTTGAAGAACTGATAACTGAATTTTTACCGCATGCAGAAAACTGTATATTTAAAGCTAGAATGACTACTGATACTTTACCAGCTGAGTTACAGCATCCCAACATTGTTTTTACCGATCGACTTGTTGAACAGCAGAAAATATTACGTAATAAATTCTTATTTTAAATTTAATATTTTGGTTATATCATTTAAAAATATTTTAATATAGATCCGTACTTGAATTATTTTTCAAAAAATTCTCGCTAGATAGCTACTTTAGAGTTTGTGGGAGAAAAAGATTTAGCTGGACTATAGTAGTTTGAAATCATAAAAAACGGAGATTCACGTAGCTCGAAGTAGTCCTGACCTCGTTTCTTTCGTTGTTATCCAAAAAATAAATTGTAATCTGTCAGGTTAAGATATGAAAAGTTAAGTAAAATACTTAGAGCCTTTAAAGCTTTTTTTGAAACTTCAAATTTTAAGGCAAAACTAACACAAAATTGTTCATTTCTCATTGTGGCCTAAACAGTTTGAATGAGGTATTTAATTTTATTTTTTGAATTATTTAAAATATAAAAATTTCAAGGCAATGTATGCAGGGGTTCCTTTAATTTGTATTCCTTATGCAGTTGATCAATTCTATAATGCATCCCTCATTGAACACTTGGGAATTGGAATTTATGTTCATTCAGGACAAGATTTCGCAAAAGCATTGAGAAGTGCTCTAAAAAGTATTTTGATTGATAACTATGAGTAAGTAGACATTTATTTCAAATACAGAATTGAGTATTATATAGTATTGTTTAATATAAATTGGGATCAAATTAATAAAAAAATATACGTATTTAATAAAATAGCTACCGTAGGAAACAAAAAATAACCTGAACCAAAAACAGTGATGAACCCATAATAATCTTTCATATTAAATAGTAAAGGTCTGATTGTGAGTAAAATTTATTTCAAAAAATAAGGCAGAATGGGACTTGTTCTTAACACAAAACAAAAAATGAATTTTTTAAAATTAATCATTTAAGCGGATATAAAAATGCTGTTGAAGAACTGAGAAATAAAATACACAAAAATTTGGTGAAGGAAATATTTATTAAAGACGAATTTTTAAAAAAGATTTCTGAATTAATTCGAGATTAAAAAGGCGGAAGAAATTTGATGGATTTTACTATTTAAAATCTACGTGTTTTAAAAAAGGATTTGGTACTAAATGGACATTATTTATCCGTATTTTAATTTTTTCTTTAGTTTTTTTTCGTTTTCTATTTTCAAGGGTTTGGTGTCTCGAAATAGAGCCGAACTAAAGAATCCAGGATTTTCGATTGGTTCCTAAGTTCGGTATCGAATACCGGAAAATTTTTAGTTCCTTCTTGGATTCATGACTAACAGCTACTGAATTTTTATAACATTTGTTGTTTTGATACTAAGTAGAAGAATTCAAAGGGATTGAATAAAAATTCGTTTGAGTGTTTCTTTAAATCAAAAGTCATTTTGGGGATAAATCTTAGGGAACGGTAAAAATTTCATTATATCTAGGGGTCATTATAGCGAGCTTCTTTTTATTCGCAATACAATTTTTGTTTGGGGCGCTTGTTTATTTGTTTCTAGAATTATGTATTTTAAAAAATCCTCAATTAGAGATCGGCTCAATCCTTTGTTCCCAATATATTTAAATTTTAAATCAAATAGACATACAAAATTTTAATCATTTTATTCTGCTAATTTTTTTAGTTTCATAAGTTAAAAAGCATTAGATTAATTTGGGGATTTTGCATTTGTTTTTCTTTATTGGGTTTTCACATTTAAAATTTTTTAACATTTCTATATAACTTTAAAATTCTGACGGAATTTTTTTACTAGATAAATTAAAAATTTATTTAAATTTATTATTTAAATAAATTCCTTCAGAAAATTCCACAAAAATATTAAAGTTTAATTATTTATTTTTTTGATTACCTAACATATTTTTACCATAATATTTTCTCTGAAACAAAAAAATTTTTTCAATTTATTAACTCAAATATTTTTTAAAAATTAAGAAAAAATATTATCAAAATTAGATAGAATTTCGATTTGAGTGATTTGTATCTTTTTTTATTTTTAATTTATGTCAAGCTTTATTTTTTGATTTTTATGCATAAATTTTTATTTTCGGGTAGAAAACTTTTTTATTAATTTTGACATGTAAAAAGATATGATACGTTTATTATTTTAATAGTCGGATATGGATGATCTAGAGGGAGGAAGGATATTGGGGATTTGTAGAGATTAACGGAGAAAATTTACGAATTTTGTATGGCTAGGAAGGCAGTTTTCTTTAATTTAGTCTAATAAAGTCAACTCATAGGGATGTATATTTAGCCTCGGTCCTCAGTGAGGTTGGAGGATGGACGAAGTCGGCACTTCAGAAGGCCCAACCTCATGCTGCTCTAATTAAAGATAGACAAACAGTGCTAATTATTTATTTCGTAAAAGTTAAGAAATAAAAGGAGGATTGCTTTTAAAATTTTATTATTATATCACGTAAATGCCCTTTTAATTATTATTTACTTTATTTTGTAATAATATTTGTATTTGATCATTGGATTATTTTATACCCTTTCTCTAGTCAAAATAAAAGGGCAGTCAATTAATTTAAATAAAATAAAAAATAATTTTTCTTAAATTCATTAATTAAAAAAATTTTTTATTAAAAAAAAGAGAAGTAATGCCCTTATTAAAAATTTCCTTATTCTTCAACCTTTTCCTTTTAATTTTTCAATATTCATCTGGTAATATTAAACGTGATCAGCGATTACTAGTGGAATCTAAACAGAAAGTTTTTCAATTATTTGGCTCCAACATTAATTATCCTTTAATTAAATTGATAAAAATGAAATTGAAAACATTGGATTTAAATTCGAATTTAAATTTAAACGAGCCATATTTTACAGAAATGATCATAGAAATAGATAAACAAATGAAAAACAAATATTTCTATATTTCAATATTTCGAGAACCCTGCAATGAGGAAATGGGGGGTTACGAATATAACACAAATGCTGCAATTATTGGTGAAAACGGAAAAAAACAAATGAGAATTTTAAGGGATTACACGGATTATCTTAAAGAAGGAATTCTTTTTTGTGGATTAGGGGATCTTAGAAGAGAGGTAATCTTATTCGAATAAAATAAAGAGAACTTTATATTCCTTTGAGACTGGTTCTTGAGCTATTACTAAACCAGAGATCTTACTGGGAGGGTCGTACGAGAATTCTCGATCTCGATAATGATCGACATCTCTTTTCGGTCCGATCTCAACACTAAACCTAGAATGAAAGTCCAATCATGAGCATCTTTCGCAAGTGGGGTTTAACCACAATCTTTCGTAATTTGGGGTTACACACAATTTACTACAGCAGAATCTAACACATTGGCTGATACTATAATAGTTAGGTATTTTGATTTTTTATGCAGCCCTGTTCTCGTGTGATATTTTACAGATTTCTGTTAGACATAAATCAACCATTTTTAAATTTAGAAAAAATTTTATTTTCTTTCCTTTTTAGACACTTTTGCAAATTTACCCACTTTTTTATGCAAAAATAGATTTTGAAGTAAATAATGAATTGTATAATCTTACAAGTTTTAAAAAGAAAGAAGTAGATATAAACGGAATAAATACATATTTTAGCCATGGGGGTGGGCTCCATAAATTGATAAAAATAAATTGTTTACTTGATTTAGAAGGGCCTAGAAAAATAATTAAAACGAAAAAATTTATTGAAAAAGGGGAAAAATTATTAGGCCAAAACAATTTCATTGACAATTCTGTCCTTAATGAAAAACATCGGCGTGCCGAATTGGAGGGGATTTCGTATATAAATATTTGTTTGAAATTTGAACATTCGGGAAAATATAAAATTAGAGTAGTGTCTTCTGACATTTGGAGGTAAGGATGGCGGTTCCTGGGAAATCTCCGGATATCCGGAACCGGAACCGATATTTGAACCGAAAATTTCCGGGTATTCGGGGTTTTTTCGGTTCCGGATACCCAGAACCGCCAACCTTATTTGAAGGGAACCAAAAATGGAATTACATTTTTATGTCAAAATTACTGAAGAAAATAAGACTAGATGTCTGGCCAAAAAATTTACGGATTATAAAAATAAAGAAGAAATTGACTTTATGAGTCAATTAAGAGGGGGTATCTGGCTTTTTGTGATTAATTATAATCATATTATTCTGATAATTATACAAATTTTGTGAAAGTAGAAGTGTTTAATGATTCCGATTTGGATATTCGTAATTATACTAATTTAAAACCTTTTTTTAGAGAAGATTTTAAATTTGTTGGAGAAGAAAATAAAAATATTAAAAAACGGAAAAGAAATGAAGAAAATTAAAAAATGAAAGGAAGATTTGTTTCCATTTTTATTAAAAATTAACTAAATCTGTTTTAAATGGTTAGGGGTGCTTTAAATTTTTATAACTTTTTTGTTGTAATACTAACAAGATATGATCGTTGGCTCTCGATATAACGAATTCGAAGGGACTAAGGAAAATTTGTTCGATCGTTTGTTAACTAAAGTGATCTTAGGAAACCCTCAGTTAAGGAACGGTGAAATGTTCGTCACTTTGAGAAGTTCATAACTCGAAAATCAAGTTTCAATGTATTCGCAATACAATTTTAGTTCAGAGTTGGGCAAATTGATCACTTGCTTATTATTAGTTTCTGTCATTGTGTATTTTAAAAAATAGCTCTAGTTGGGATTTCATAATTAATATACATTTAAAACAAAAAAACAAGATTAAAAATGGGGGATCTTAAACATATTTTTAAAATTTCTATACAAATGTATAAATTTATAAGTATGAAGGAATTTTTTAAATGAAGAAATTTAAAATTATTTCGAATTTATTTAATTATTTTTAAAATAAATTCTTTCAAAAATTTCCAAAAAATTTTTACAATGATTTTGATTCGTAAAAAAGATATTAGTTATTCCGTGGGCCTTAGATCCCCTTCAACTAATATTTCTAAATTTGGATAATCAGAATATAGAAAAAAAATCTTTGAAAATTTTTTTAAATTTTTTGTTTAGCTCTAGAAGCTAACTTCCTATCCACAATCAGGCTGGTGTCCAACTATGGCTAGCAGAGGCCCCAAAAACATCTATTCCAAAATACACAAATTATCAAGTAAAGCTAAAAATCTTTTATATTCTTTGCCTTGTCCTCTCTTTAATTTTTTTAAATCTCGCTAACCCCGAAAAGAATGGAACTAGAATTTTTCTATAAACAAAAACTTCCTCGTCACGAAAACTATTCCCTTTTATTTCCTTTTAGTTCGAGACACTTTTAAACAAAAAACATTCAAAAATAAATTTTAGGGAGATGGCAGAGATTAATAAAAATGCATTGAAAAAATATTTTAAAAAGAAATATTTTCTTTTTTCCCTAAAGGGAACCAAACCCAACAACTTTTCGTTTATTTTTTGCTTTTTTTTTATTTCTATAAATATTTTTAAGAGGACTAAAGTCTTTTTTGTCTTGAAAATATGTACAGAAAATAGTCAGAGGGGGTTTTTAGCCATTATAGTATCTTTTAATTTTCGGATTCGATTTTTGCGTTAACTTCCTATCGGCTTTCTTTTAAATAACCTCTCAATTAGATCTACAAAGGATTGATCTTGAAGGAATTTTTTTAAAATCTCGATAACTCAAAATATTCGGTCTTCAAAGGATTGTTAACACTTTTGCTTCTGT